GTATATATATATATATATATATATATATATATATATATAATCCGGGAAAAAACAATGTGTTCTTAAGTCTCCTACATTTTGAATATTTATTTATAACTTGTTAAATTTTCTCAATTTCCGCATATCATCTTTGGAGTTCACACAACGAAAAGTATTGTCGAAATTTCCTCTAGCGATGAAATTGATTATAATTTGCAAGCCAAATTTGGAGGAATTTTCCCAGTTGATCTTTTAATTCAGAAATATTGTTCGATCAAAAAGTTACCAAATAAGTTTTTGCATAGTTGATGATAGAAAGTTAGGAATTTCTCAAATTCACCTTCGAGAAGTTCACTCAGGAACGGCATCACCATGGGCAAATGAGGCGCAATTCCATCGCCAGCCTTATCGAAGATTGCTTCCACAACAAGCAGGGCACGATAACGAATCTTAAGAAGTAATCTTCTAAGCACATGAAAGCACTACCCAACAACGTTACCTTGGCTCTTCCATTTCTAGTTTTGAGCAGTATCTTATCCAAAACGATTTGGAAGACATTTGGATGAGTATCAGATACCCGATACAGCGTGTCCGCCAAATGAGGAACGCATCGTTTTTCATGACCTGCTAATTTACTGTTGACTATTTCATCCGTCAGAGGTCCAATAAGCGATGTTGCACGATCCCTGAGAAGCAAAGAGTTGATGGAAGTTAAAGTATCGAGAAAACTTTGAAGAAAAAAAATACTCTGTGAAGAATTCTGGATGTCGAGCACAGTTACCGACAAAGTCAATAACCTGTGTTATTAAAGAGTCAGCTTCTTTTCCATCCATTGTATCTTTCTTACCGAACAGCAGAAGTAGAGAACGATCTAAAAAAAATTGTAAAAGTAAAAGTATAAACATCAATAAAAGGTGCAGTCCGGTGGAATGAAACAGGCAAAGAAATCTAAACAGAACACACCAGGAGTAACAGTGGCGTTACTAAAATGCAGCACCTTGACTGACATTTCTATAAGCTGTCCAAAGTATGGCAATGCGAGTGAGTTAAACGATTCATAAAAGCTGAAATGTAAAGTCTTTTATTGAGAAATCCTACTACAAACAAAATGAATACTTTCTGCTAATAACAAAATCATTTATCACTGAAGCAATTTCGTCTAGCAAACAACACTTGTACTCATGATTTATATTACAGGCAAACTGAAAATTAAGCATTATGGATCCCATTCTGTTAAATACCCATCTTCACCTTAGCAAACCAAAAAAAAAACTCATTTCGCTTTCATAACAACATACCATGCTTGTCATGGACTCAGTTGCCATCATGTCAAACGTTATTCACAAACCTATTTGCAAACATGAAGACAATCACGAGACGGCCACGCTCCTCTCGAGTAGCATATGGCTTCAGACCTAGTTCCGCCCAGGTAACTAAGGCATTCACTACTGAGCGAAGGGTGTTCTCTGTTAATACTTCTGCCATGGCTAATAGTGCGGCAAAAACGCTCCGCTCAACATTTTCGATCCTCTGTAAGTTCTAAAAGAATATCTTGACAGAACCTGTAAATCAGATGTTATAAATAGATACCTCAACGTTCCTCTCTTTTGCGCGGTACTCTAGTCCTCTGATAAATACATCTGATACAAGGCTGTTTCTCATTTTAGAGATAACGATCCGGTTATTTTGGTCAAAATATCTTTGGAGCAGGGAAAATGCAGCAACCAAAGATTTCTGCAGTCGAACAACGTAAAGAAGAGCTTTGAAAAGGAGAAAAAGACCGCGAACCTCTTCTCCACACAAATGAGTTATTGCTTTCGCAAAATGTTCCCCAATTAGACGAACCTCCAATTTGAGCAATGCTGCTTGGATGAGCTCAAGTCTAGAAACATTTAAGGTAAACCAGTCAGAGTACAATACGAACGAACCTTTGCTGTATGGTAGATATTTGAGATATAGGAAGTGATTTATCCAGTGATGTTATCACAGCTGGATCAGGATCATGAAATCTGAATTTAGACTTCCGAAGCAATAAGATGCATTACTCGTGTGGTTTT